GACTTTTTTGTTGCCATGGCAACAAGAGTCTAGTTATTATTCTTTTTTCTTGTTATTTCTTCTCCGGTACTTTTTTGTCCGCGAGTGTTCTCGGTAACTGCTCATCCAATTGAGTTAAAACCTTTTTAGGGTTAATAGGCATGTTATGTAGATTTGCGGAACAAAGGTCATTTTGCGCGCACGTGCATGCACGTGCGTGCGCGTGCAATGGGTAAAATGACCAATATACTTGATATAGCTGTAATTTTTATATTTTTTGGTGAAATGCTTTGATACTCAGAATATAAGGATATATTAAAAGTATGAACAAGATGACATGGTCAACATGCACATGCATGCGCGTGCGCGCACGCGCAAAGCGGAAAAGAACCAATTTACTTGATAATATCGTAACTTTTATACTTTTTGATGAAATGCTTTGATACTCAAAATATTTATATATATAGAAAGAGTAGACAAGATGACATGGTCATCATGCACATGCATGCATATGCATGCACGTGCGCGCGCGTGCAATGTGTTAAATGACTAATATAATTAATATAGCCGTAATTTTTATATTTTTTGATGAAAAGCTTTGATATTAAGAATATATATATATATTAAAAGTGTAGACAAGATGATTTGGCCATGATGCACATGCATGCACATGCGTGCGCGTGCAATGTGTTAAATGACCAATATACTTAATATAGCCGTACCTTTTATATTTTTTGATGAAAAGCTTTGATACTATGAATTAACAGACATATTATAAGTCTACACAAAATGGCATGGTCATTATGAACATGCATGCATGTGCGCGTGCGCGCAATGCTAAGATGACCAATATGCTTGATTTAGCCGGAACTTATATATTTTTTGATGAAATGTTTTGATACTGAGAATATAAAGATGCATATATAGTATAGACGGGATGACTTGGTCATCCTACACATGCATGCACGTGCGCGCGTGAAATGCAAAAAATGACCAATATACTTCATTGCCTTATTTAATGAAGCTTACAGGAAAAAAGTCACCAAAAGGGAGTTGGGGAGCGTTTGGGGAACATCTGTAACGGTCCCCGTTACAATTATAACTAGTTAATTCTTTGTTTATTTTTTTTTTGGGAAAATAATTTTAAAAAATACGAAAATGGCACAGATTTCCTTTAAAATTGACGTTAATTTTACTGATTTGGGGGCATTTTTCGTAAACTTGAGCCTTAGATAGGACGATTCGTTAAATAGGATGACCCCAGCGGTTCTGAGAAAAAAAAGTATCGTCTTATCTTCCAAAACTTACGGTAATCCATAGCATAGCTAGAAGGCATTAATCAGCGTTATGTATTCACTTCACGAACAACAGGGTAGATTTATATATACATCAGCAAGTTCGATAGTTATTTGAATGATTTTATAAAACCAAAATGTCGACAAAAACATGATAATGCAGGTAACAAATACACGTCGTAACATAGTTACGTACGGGTATTCAAAACCCATGACCCTAGTGTTTTGATTGATGAAACATGTAGCGTTGGCTATTAAAACAGTTTTTTTTTTTTTTTTACAAATACAGGTTATTATCTGCTGGGTGATCTAAATTAATGTCAAGCGTGATAATTAAAATAATTGAATGACAAGTACGATTCATAATTACTGAAATGACCATGTACTGCACGTATATTTACCTATCGTAGTCTATTCTCAAATTTCCAAATATAACATGTAGGTTATTGAAAACTTATTCACTGTTTCTTGAATTCACGGATTTATTCACACCGTGAATATAGTGAATATTAACACCGCGAGTTATTTTCCCCCATACAGTATACAGACTTAATATAGAAATGATTTTATCGACTTTCTCAATCTATGATGAATTTAAAAATGTAAATATAAGCATTTAATTGTAAATATTTAACATTTAGCATCTCATAACCAGAGTTGGAAATTACTGACTGCCCGAGGCAGTCTGTTTTTCAGGTAGGCAGGGACAAACTTTAGATTAACCTCGGTGGTCGGGGTCATTTAAACAGGTAGTTCCTGTTTTCCTTCTTTTTTTTCAGGGTATAGTAAGTCTATAGAAATTAAGTAAAATATAGTATATCAAAGGAACACTTCTAGTTAAAAATATGAGATGACCTATAGGACCAATATTGGTTCAGTCTTTAGAAAAAGCTTACCGATATATGTTCCAGTCACTGACTTTAGGTCACGTGTGTAGTTTCTTGTTTCTCATGTATTGCTTTAGTTCTACATTAATGGTAATCTAACAACCAAGCTTTATGATAAACGTGATGACTTTAACTTTTCAATCATCAACATCCCTTACTTATTCAGCAATATACCTTCATCACCTGCATACGGGGTTTATATATCTCAGTTGATTCGATACGCAAGAGCATCCTCTATGTATGAACAATTTTTAAAAGGAGGTAAGTTATTGACAAACAAATTGCTGAAACAAGAATATCAGCAGTCTTGTTTAAAGTCATCATTTTGTAAGTTCTATGGTCGATACAATGACCTTGTCAGCAAATACAATTTATCATTAAGTAAAATGCTGACTGACGCTTTTCATACTTATTGTTAGGCCATTATTTACACACTGAATTGTGTATGGAATTTTCTATTGTTTCCCAGTCGTGACAAGGAGCACACAGCGGGTGTGAATAGTCTGCAGGGGATGCTCACTCCTCCATGGCACCTGATCCCACCTCTGATGTTTTGGAGGTCCGTATTTGCTCTGCTCCTATTTTGTATTTTTTGATGGGCTTTTGAGCTTGAATACTGATTGTTATCTCGATATATTTCATTCTACTCAACTGTGTGTTCATGTGATCCTACCTCAATATTTACAGAATGATACATCCTTTGTTTGAGGGTCATTCTTGATGTCTGACTGAGTAATGGCAATGGGACATAAAACCTTAACTGACCTTACCACATTCTTTTCTAATCTGAAAACCCTCATGCATTTTTAGCATAACATATCGCCAATGCACACATTTTTCCTGAGGAATGAACTGCATCTACTCTGCATAGAACAGTATCTCTCCCACTGGCACAACAGTACTATTACATGTCATTATGTTCTTGAAAGGCAAACACAGCAATTATTGCTCGGCATGATTTTTTTTCATGACACCTGCAGTATCGAGTAACACAAAGTGAATGATTCATGTCCTCGAACAAAGTGTGCTTACAATGAGGTTTAGTTCCGGTTGATTGCGTTTAGTTAAAGAGAATTATGATCTGCATTTCCATAGATGTCTTTTATATCAACACCAAACATGCATTTAAGGAAGAAAATATATTAAGTAAAATGCAAAAGCCTGTATTAAAAAATCAAAGGACAAGTGCACTTAAGCAATGCTTAATGGGTCCTTTTTCAGTGCCATATTACTTTAGAATGTATTACCAAATTGTTCTCTTTTGGTAATAGTTAAACACAAGTGGACATTTCTAATTAAAATCACATTAAAACATCACCTAAATCAGCATGGATTTGAAACAAATGAAGTTTTTTAAATGTCTATAGATACCCCAAATCCGGAAAAGTCGTACCGAACCTATTTTGAGTTTCGTTTATTTAAATCAAGGGGAGGAGACATTTAAATCAGACACTTGAACAATCTGATGGTGGATCATTGACAGGCGCGTATGCCGAATGATACTTCTTGTGCTATTTTACCCGAGAAAAAAATCGAATGAAGTTGTATAGATACCTGTATCCATAGTGATCAAACTAAGAAATTTGCATGCTTGCATTTGAAATAATACAATAAGTATTAACATTAGTTCCTTTAAATTTTAAAATGAAAAAAAGTATATTTAGGTGGCTTTCAATACCAGTACCATTGTCTTGCATGAATGTTAAAATGGTTGACACTTTTATTTATGATGACATTTTAACGACACTAACCTCTTCTAACCATCCCGTGTTCCTAAAACCAAATACATACAAACTTCTCTATGCGGCTTGACTTCAATATAATGATATAAAACGTGGTTATGTTTTACAGTGAACATCTTTGAGGAATGTTTACCGGGGTAGAACTCACGTGACTACCAGTATTTTAAATAATTTATTCCACGGGTGGGTTCAACATAGGTCATACAGGTAAATAGCTCTTGCTTGTTATAGGAAAAACATTGAACTTTTCATACATTTTTAATATTTTAAGTACAAGCCTAATCATGTACAAATTTCCTACTTTCACACAAGTTTTATAAATGTATAATGCATTTTTTGTCAATCGCACAAGTTTGTATAGTGTTGGGCTGACAATAAACAAAAGCTTTGAAATGAATGACCGTCCTCGATTTACTATAGAAAATCACGAATGTCGGCTGACCCCTACCACATTGTATGGCTTTGCTCTTTGTATATTCAAAATTTGTTGAATCTTATGGTTTAGATATCAATTAATGATCTGAGATGGAAAATTATGCTTAATTTAATTTATCGGGGCCCATAAGTGCACTCGTTCTTTAGTGTTTATACAGGTAAAAAGTTTGAAAAAATAAAAATGTGCCAACAAATGGTTTCGAACCAGGACACTAAAAATGTTCATGGTGAGAGTCTGCGGTCTATTGTTCTGGGCTATGCTGACTATGAGGACATTTGTAATAAATATAAACCAGTATGATAGAAATAGGTTTTCACGTTTTTTGTAGGTTTTTTTCTATGAATTTCGACCCTAGGCACCTCTAAAAGAACCTTGTTTTAAATAATCATAATTTAGGGGCAGGCAAAGGGTGATTATATTGCATCTATCGGGTATAATTTTCTTATCAGAAAATTGTAGAGATATGCAAGGTTAATTAATGACAACATTTATTTTTCCTTTTTGCCTAATACTTTTATGATTTTCACTAATAAATTGATTATTGAAAAAAAGCCTTTAATATGACTGCTGATTTTATCTCCATCTGTTAATTTTCAACACCTTTTCTCATGATTATAGTAGATAGAGAACAGATTATGATTTCTAACATTTACTTTTACAGATCATTTTCTTGAGATAGGTGGAACCAACAGTCAAATACAGACACTTCTAAGAAAAGTAAAAATCTGGCTCAGGTAAAAAAAAAAAAAAAAAAAAAAAAAAAAAATCATTTACAGTTTTAACAATTAGTAATTTTACCTTAATTAACTGGAAAAATCTTATTTGACGAAAAACAGGTCAAGAATGAAGAGTTTAAAGCCTAGTAGGGATTTTGGTCAATCATTACAGGTAATCTGCAGTCCCTCTTGAGAATTTTACACTCATATGGAGACGCCACCACTTGCCAGTGGAAAGCTGCAAATTCTGTCCTATACTCTGCACTCATGGCCATTGAGCAGTGAGGGGTCTTTATCATGCCAGCACCTACTGTGACATGGGACCTTGGTTTATAAGGTCTCATCCGAAGGACTGGTCTCCATGTCCCACAGTGGGATTCAAACCTGCGACATAAGGATCAACTCCTTACTTCGTGACTCTAGAGCAGACGCTCTAACCATGGCGCCACGCTTGTGACTAGCTCAGTTTTAAAGAAATCATTCAAGATATTCTTTATCAAACTTAATATGCTGATACATATATAATTAGTAAGACCTATTCAACTATTTCAAAAACTTTTGACCTTTCCTGTGACCTTGACCTCACTTTCCTTCAATTTGCATTTTGCATGGTTTTAAAACCATTTAAAATATTGATATCTAAGGCTATGCATCTATACATAATTTGGTGAGAATTTATCATTTATATCCATTTTTTTTTAGATCTCAATTTCAATTTTAAAGAAACTTTTCAAGATATTCTCATCAAACTTCATACACTAACACAAAATTTCATGTTGCATTACTATACACTCGGCGGGCATACATGTCCTATGGACATATTTCTAGTGTATTGCTATTTCTGTTGTTTGTTTACTTCCGGTCAGTAAGTGCCCCCTAGGGGCAAGCCCCAGTCCTGTTTTCTTTTCCAGGGTTGCAACAGCGCCCCCTAGAAAAACAAGTTGCACCATCCAATTAAATCGTATTTTGTGCTGCTTTATGCCAATGAAATTAAGGCTGGACAGCATATGTATTATATTCTGTTCAATGGGGTTGCCGTATTTTCAAATAATTAGGATAGACTTACCACTTCAGCATTCCTTTCATCACTGAAGTGATATACATGGTCAAAAATTGACTAACTTTCATTTTTGTGTCAACTGCAGAGCAGAACGACACTTAGAGATCACTTTACCTGGTGTCTGTCTGTCCGTCTGTCACACCTTATATCTCCAAAATTTTGAGAGGCAGGGTTTTGATAATTAGCATTTATATATGTTTTTGAGCTCATGATACTATACTTTGAAACTGTATGAAATTCAGTTACCACACAAACTTATATTTAAATACTATGAAAATACATTGGGATCAGTATTCCACAATGAATCGTGTTGACTGACAAAGTGACAATTAAAGTAAAGACAGTCTGAAATTCCTTTCCTCCGAGGATTGTTGGAAGCACCTACATGTGTATTAATAAAATGATAAATAGTTATTCCTCATAATTTTAATTAAATTATTCATTTGAGGACTGGGGAACCATATTTTCTCTGATTGCCAGATTCTATCCCAGTCTTTTAAATACTTTTGGGTCCTTTTTTTCCTTGCAGGCAAATGCTTGAACCTCCATGCTAATATTAAATTAATAGCTGACCACTCTTAGATTTATTTACCTCTTTAATGACGATACCTAGCAGGTGACATATACATTCCTTGAAACACTCTAGTTCCTATTTGATTTTCACTAATATAAAGATTATTGAAAAAAGACTAAGGTGCTCTATAGTGATCAGTCTATTCATTCATCTGTCTGTCAAATACACATATCCCTTAGTTATGCTTGTTCAGAATACAGGTGACTCTAAATACTTCAAACTTTATATTTTTTAATTAGATACATGTAGCTGCTTTGGAACATCTGAAAGGTCTATTACATTATCACTAGTTTTACTAGTTTTCTTCATGTAAGTTGAATATATTTTAAACTTTTAAATTTTTATTTTTTCCAGGTAAGAAAGAAATTCAGGAGTTCTTAAATTGCCCTTGGAGTTCTTGGATTGCATCAAACTGCTAAAAGACCTCAACAAAAACAGCGTCTTGAAAATAAAAATGAAAATATTCAGTGAAAAAAAAATGATGAAAGAGCCACTAAAAATCTTCAAGCCTTTGAGCTGAAATCTGGAAGTCAATCTGTGGACTTTACTAGTAAGTCATAATTACTAAGTCATCATTTGTGTATAATAAATACACTAAACTGTAAACACTTGTTAAAATGTGTATAATTTTTAGATATAATTTGTATCTCATAGACTTCAATAGTTTCATGTAATTTAAGTAATAATGAAAATTTCCTGTTGTCTAGCTAGATTAGAAACTATTATTGTCCAATTTTGGATATTGTGAAATAATTCATCTAGTATGCACACATGTGTGTACACTTATGTGTAAATTAATTGTTATAGCAAATTCAATCGATCATTAAGTTGAATGTTGACTAATGTTTTTCATCAAAATTGTTTACACTGAATTGTTTGTGGATTTTTCCATTTGCCCAATCATGTCAAGGAGCACATGGCAGGAAATGCTTTCTCCTCCATTGCACCTGGTGTTTTTAGAGTCTGTTTGCTCTGCTCTAATTATGTATTGTTTCAATGGACTTTAAAGCTTGATCACTGTTGGTAATCTTCATATTTCATATACGATTAGAGTACTTGAAGAAAACTGTAAAGATTTAACATACAGTATAATGCATGTATATTGCACTTTAAGTACAGTGTATGTGGTTAAGAAATGTTAAATCCTCTCATAGTGCATTGAATTTGTTGAAAATTAGAAAATGTGTTGAAATTTTTTTTGAAATAATGTTAGATTGCAGATTTTTTTAAATCATGCAAGTAAGAAATTGCTAAATATTTTTTAGATTTTCTGGACAGTCTAGATGAGTTCTCACTATATACCTAGCATTGTCATCCAAGTTAAAATTTAAGGAGCAAGGTTCATTCCTAAGCTCTACCTGGACAAACTTGCATGGATTAAAGCACATTAACAGATTTACTTCAGATGCTTGACCTGATCTACATTTTCCTCATGTGTTTTTTTTTTTGTTTTTGTTTGTTTGTTGTTTAACATCCCTCTCAAGAATTTTTCATCCATATGGAGATGCCACTACTTGCTGGTGGAGAGCTGCAAAATTTGACCTATACTTTGCACTCAGGGCCTTGAGCAGTAAGGGATCTTTTTTGTGCTAGGCGGGACCTCGGTTTATATGGTCTAATCTGAAGGACTGGTCCCCACATCCCCAGTGGATTTGAACCTGAGACTTAAGGATTAAATCCTTACTCGCGACTCTAGATTACAAACTCTATCCTTTGCGCCACATGGGGGACTCCACAAGATTAAGTGTTTTGAGCAGTCCTATTCTCATGTAATTATAAACTCTATGTTGAACAAACCTGCAAAGATGATGTATGTACATGTAAATGTTTCAGGGTACCAATCCTTGATTTGACTTAGATATTCTGGATTAATGACCAGTTTTTTAGAGAAGGTTCATTCAAAGTAACAATATACTCTTTGGTGATCAGTAAACATAGATGATGTATCCTGCTTCTGATGCTGGATGTAACATACATTTTCAGGGTTATTGAGCAGTTAAATCTAACCCAGACCAACTTGCATAGATTTTGGATCCAGGTGATATACATTACCAGAGTGTTTGTTAAGTGAGACTTTGCCTTACTAGTAGATAACATTTATAGAAGTGAGCTTTGTATTCTTTGATTAGGTATGTTTTTTCTTTGCTCAGGATATATACAGACCTGCCTACCCTTCCGCTTTTGGCGTAATTTTTCCGCTTTTTACCACAAAATTACGCTGTTACGCCATGAAAACTAATTTTATGCTTTTTAAATATTTTTTCATAAACAACTTAATGAAAGGCTAATTTTGGAGTTAAAGTAAAGGTTTTCCTTAATGAAAACGAGAAGGTAATTAATACTAATTAATGGAGGGTTTCGGTTCTTCACGATATGATTATTTATGATACAAACAACATACGTTATACACGTTGTAGTTATGCCTTTTAAACAGGTTGCATGCCAAAATTAAGGAAACAAAACTTTTGAATGATGTGTGCAATAAGTAAAGTCAGTTTAATTTTCAATTCGGTTTATTCTTACATTGCTAAGAACAACATAGAGACAAGTAAATGTAAGAAAAACAAAATCGAAATAGCGGAATAATGTAGAATTTGTATTAATATGCGATTGAAACTCTGAATTATGTGATTTGCTAATTTTTTTCCAAACGTTCATTAGGAATGTTAGATAAATAAGTTTGATTTGACTGCAATTACGATACCAGTTTTTACAACAAAGGGACTTTTTGTCTATAAATGATTTGAAAAAGAAACATTCATGCTTGCTTTGTTCAATGATGTACAATTTCAGGTTGATTCAGACAATATAGTAGCTTTGCAAAACATCAAAGTAGGGAAACATAAAGGATTACGCCTTTACCTCATAAATTCCACTTAATTGAGTCTTGAAATTACACCCTCGCAATGAAAAGGGTAGACAGGTCTGTATATATACCATCAGTGCCAACTACCATACATTTTATATAATAGATGTAGCTGTTGTTCAACTGAATATGATAAAACTGTGGATGAAAATGATTTGATTTTTGTACCTTTGAATGTATTGAATTAATTTGTAAAAGCTGTTATGATACAATGTTTGATATTTTATAAAAGGTTTTAGCATATGCAATCAATAAATGTATCAACATTTTTATTTTATTATACTTTTTACCCTGCAAACTTCTTAAAAACAGAATAGTAATGATCCATTTAATTGATACTAGGTTAGTGTCACATTGTACTGGTATATCATGTATACTGAACTGTAAATAAGAAACATCTAAATAGGTAAATTCACAGCATGAATCATTGGATTATGTAAGAAGTGCACTATCTTGTGCTTTGGTATGGTATTAATAATAAATGTTAAACTATCATTTTTTTTTTCAAATTAACAAAGGATATGCTTGAGTGACTGTATTTTGACTAGCAGTAAAAATAAAATGATTTTTAAGTATTTGAATTATTTTGATTCATGGTCTCTGCAAGTTTAATGATAGCAAATATGTACCGGGTATATTGAACATGGCATCCACATATTGCTATACTGGATGGGGCATAACTTTTACTGAATCTTAATCACAACCTTGAAATTTTATGTAGTACATGTACTCTTGGTTTCAACTGGTCAAATGTATTCTTCAATCAGAAAGAATTTAAACAAATATAGGCATAGGTCAGAACTTCATCAATTAGTTGGAAAGCGAATGCACTCGGTGACTATATGGTTTAAAAGAAGCTGGGTATAAATAGCAGGAAAAACTACTTGATGTCCACTGTGAACTTTGTGTCCTCAACAAAACAATATGGAGTATACTATACTTGGTCTAAAGAATAATCTGTGTCTGCATTCACTTTTAGGTTAAACTGTTTTGGGCATTGAGAGTTTGTTTGTTGTTTAACGTCCCTCTGGAGAATTTTTTCACTCATATGGAGATGCCAACACTTGCCGATGGAGAGCTGCAAATGACCTATGCTCGGCACTCAGGGCCAATGGGCAGTGAGGGATTTTTTTCATGCCAGCATCTACTGCGACACTGGACCTCTGTTTGTACGAAGGACTGGTCTCTACGTCCCACAGTGGGATTCAAACATGTGACAAAAGGATCAACTAACTCCACGACTCTAGAGCATAGGCTCTTTCCACTGCACCATGTGGGCGACAGCATTGAGAGTTAAATGTGGATATCAGAACAAGCTACTCTGGGCTTATACTCTCTATATATTGATTGATTGTATGTTGTTTAACATTCCTCTCAAGATTTTTTTCACTCATATGGAGACACCACCACATGCCAGTGGAGATCTGCAAATTTTGTCCTATACTCGGAACTTACGGCCATTGAGCATCGAGGGATTTTTTTCGTGCCAGCACCTACTGCGACACAGGACCTCGATTTATACGGTCTCATCTGAAGGACCGGTCTCCCCATCCCACAGTGGGATTTGAACCTGCGACGTAAGGATCAACTCCTTACTTCGCTACTCTAGAGCAGATGCTCTAACCACTGCGCCACTGGGGCAACTACTCTCTATTTAAGTCACTTGTGCAATGACTTTAGTTTAATTCAAAGTTTTGTACTGATCATGTTGAGTCACATTAGCACAAATATCTTTCTGCTGACCTTGACTAATAACCATCCGCAACTATTCTGGTTGGAAACAATATGTTAATTAATGCATAATAAGTGAAATTACTATGAAAGAAAAATGGTCTACTTAAACCACAAGTTATATTTATAAAAAATATACACTGGTCTCCTTAAGTCATATGAGAGAAACATAAAATATTAAGGAGACCATTTTTTTCATATATTTTTAGGAGGCATTTATTATGAAAAAATAAAGCAAGAGTCGACTAAATGGTGTTCTATAGATCTTTGATCTGGTATTTCTTTTTAGAAAAAAGCAAATTTAAAAAAACTGTATATTGTCCCCTTAAGCCATATATAATGGTCTGGTCTCCCTAGTCCTTAAATCAGAGTTATATATATATATATATATATATATATATATCTGGATTATTTTTTCACATATACCTGGATATTTTTTTCTCTTGTACCCAATTTTTTGGCATATATTTGGATGAGTTTTATCTCGTATACCTCGATTCATTTTCCCTCCTTTAGATGGATAAGTTTTTCTCATATTTCTTTTTTTCTTTTGCACATGTAGCTGGATTGAATTCTGGACTTAGGTCTTTCTCGGGTAGCGAACTTTTCGCAAACTTGTAACTGCGTTCAGTTCTTTTTCTCGTATAGTTTGATTTATTTTTTCACCTGTTTCTGTGTTGAACATTTCCTGTTATATTTTGATTTTTCATTTGTCTGGATGGAATTTTTCTCCTGTGTCTGGATTGAGTTTCTTCTATTGTAGTTGGATTAAATGTAATTTTGTTTCTCGCATAACTGCACGGATTAAGTTTTTTCTCGTTAATCTGGTTATTATAACAATGTAGCTGGATCGATTTTGTTGACGTATCTGGAATGATTTTAAATTTTTTTTTTCCTATTAAACAATACCCTTAGTATAGAGTCCAGTATTTTGATTTTTTAGCACTTTTGTATACTAGTAACATCCGATATGTTGATTTAAAAAGGTAGGTTTACTTTTGCTAATATTTTTTTTTAAATTAATTTATATTGTTATATTCTTCACTTTTAAACAAGGGACACGTACACATGTACCTCCATAAAAATTCATGGCTATCGATGTGTTTGCATGTTCAGGAACCCCTCAGCGAAATACACGTACCCCTAACCCATACCCCAGAAACACCCCTAGCATTGTTTGACTTTTTATGATAAATTATTTTCTTCGATATATTAACAAAGTATTCAATGTGATAAGTCTGCAGAGGGGAAACGCTTTAACTTTCAATATTTACATTTTCCAATGTCTTTCTCTGAGATAAGGTAATGGCTTTATAACCCCATAAAGCGATTTGCTCAGCACGTAAAAGAACTGCATGTTCTTTTCGCTGCGTGTTGTTTAGTAATACACCTGGCGGGAATGCTGAGATTTCTTATTATTGAATTTTTTTAACTGAATCAAGGATCAGGTAAAAATGTAAATATAAGGAATAACTGTCTGGTTTTTTGTTTTTGTTTTTTGGTTTTATGATGATGATCAATCAATTTGCTAGCATGATAATTTTACGCATAAACGCCTTAGGCGTTTATGCAAATTATCACGCGAGCATATTGATTGATGATTGATCACATCATAAAACCAAAAAACTAGACAGTTATTCCTTAATTCAATCTATAACAAATATTCGCCGACCGCATAATCCATTATTGTATACATGCATAAACAAAAGACATTAATTTATTTTCACGAGATCAGGTGCAGATCCAGAAATTTTTTCCACGGGGGGGGGGGGGGTCCACCCAAGTCTAGAATAAAAAATCCGACCGAGAGATTTCTTGACAAACAAGCAAGAAAACAAAAAAACAAAAAAAAACAACAACAAAAACAAAACAAACAAAAAAAAAAAACCCCAATAAAATAAACAACAAGAAAAAAACGCAACTAAACTCCTTTCCCAAGTCAAGTGTGAAAACCTATTTTGTAGGAGGGGGGTTACGCGTATAGGGGTTAGCCGCTCACTTCTCAATTTTTATATGTATGACATTTCATACCAACTCAACAGGGGTCCATTTTCTAAGGGGTGGGGGTCCAAGATTGCCTTTAATTGCTTTAGTATATACATTTAATAACTCGGCAAATTCCAGGGGGGGGGATCCGCCCCTCCCCCCGACCCTCTAGATCCGCGTATGCGAGATAGTTATTTGATATTTAGAAGTGCGAAATAAAATTCTCTAACTTTGGTGACTGTTGTATATAATTTTGAACTAAACAAATATACACAAAAATGACATTTTCGCGAACAGACTTTTACGTAATTTCCAGGCCCGTAGCAACGTTTTTCAAGTGCTCAGGGGGGTGGGGGTAGCCTACAAAATTGATAAACAAAAAAAAAAAAAAAAAAAAACGTAAACTGCCCATACTCGAAAATCCTATTTCGTATGTGTGGGACAAAAAAAATTCTCCCCCCTTACCCGCGTACAACGTGGGGGCCTGACTACCTGATTACGAGAGAGAAAATAAAATTGTAGGGAATAAAAACTGATTTGCAGTATTTGTGTACAGTCGCTATATATATTTAATAAAATGACCGTTTTAGAGTATATATATTTAATAAAATGACCGATTTAGGATTTTTTGTTATTTTATTTATTTTATTAATTTATAAATTTATTTTAACATCAGATACATTTTAAATATGTGATTTTTTGAAAAAAAAACCTCGTACAGTGTGCATCGAGGAGGGAAGGATAGTGTACTATCCTCAAGTACCGTTGACTTAAAGTGTAAACAAAATTATTACTTGTTTTGTCTGTAAAGTATTTGATATGTATTGAGATGTGTTGTCCTTGGACAGGGATCTCGGGAACTCTTCTCTGTGTTATTTACTTAGCATCAACATTAGTGTAATGTCCTCCCACTATTTGTACAAAAGACAATACATGTATAACTATCTCCCTCTCAAATGAAATAATGGCAAGCAAATATGCTGAGCAATAAATCGTATTGTCACTAAACAATACCAAAAAAAAAATAAAATTGATTCTGAGGAAATGAAAACATTCCCATCCGAATCCATAGTGTAATTGCTTTATGTTGAGTTGCGGATTGTCATACGAGAGTGTTTGGGGTTTCTGTAAATATAGGCCCTGGTACCCGCCCACCCTGTTTATTTAACACAGATTTGTTTTCTCTGTTATCTCAGGGCTCGTCTGGAGCTCGACTTCAATCAGAGCCGGTTTTTGATACACGGCCTTCTTTTGAATTCACTCTATAATCAACCTTAATCTCTCTATACCACAAGACTAAATGTTATACTCACCACATACTCACACCGGACATATCACATCAGCCATATTGATTTTATAACAGCATTACAGGTGACATTGACATTTACCGAAAACAAAAAGTTCACAAGAGAAGCCATTAAAACCAATATTAGTAGAAATATTGGCGTATCTTATAAGAAACTCGACGAATTATTTTCCCATAGCTCGTATATTTATTTACTTTGACAAAGAACCATTAGTCCATATCTTCAGAGATGAATTTTTCATAGTTTTACCACATTTAACTTATTTCTGAATGTCCTGAACTGCTTCCTCTTACACTTACACGAGTGTATAAAGTCCAAATATCCCCTTGGTAATTATGAACAGTCCAGATTGCTGAAGAAATTCATAAAAAAATGATGCAACGGTGCATGGTACGTGCTTTTGTGTGGCACATTTTACTTGCATTCCATATAGAGTCTCGTGTCTTGATCTAATTTATTATACCATCAACATACTATAAGTTTATAATTAAATTTCTGCCGAAAAAAGAGTACATTAAAAGGGCCATGATCGTGTAAGACAAAAACTTTCTCGGTTGCAAAATGTTGTATCTGCAGTCCCTATTTTGTTATTTGTATCGGTGAAGTTAAAATAAAAAAGATGACTTTTTTTCTAACGACAAAGTCACGTGTACTTTAATGATATTCACTAATGGTATACCTTTAATCTTTAACCGGTGGGTGTTAGTGTTATATGCAATAAGGAACAAACTGCAGCCGCGCAAGTTTTTTTTTTTGGTTTTTTTTTTTTTGGTTTTTTTTGTCTTTTGTGTAACTATATTCTGCATGGGAGATATGAAATGTAAAATTTAAACAGGTGTCTGTTCAATGTACCTGAAAGAATTTTAGTTTCCTAGTCACGTGAAGCATGTCGCAAAATGTAGGATCGTCTCCCATTATGGAGAGAACTGTATGCGGACTCCGGACCGTGGCTTATTGAGACGATAAATGTGAATTTTAAAAGATTATTTTCCCTAGAAAAGTTGTAAGATAAGGTATTACAAGACAAAAGCATTACAGCGGTGTTCATGGAGGATATATAATCAAACACATATGTACATGCACTGTATACATATCTCAGTATTCTGATTAATAAAACATGTGCGGTCACATACAATAGTACAAGCAAAGACATTAAATATACATTGACGTCAATAGAGGAGGGGACTCGAACCATTCAAAAAATAAATAAATGAATAAATGAAATAAATAAAATGTAAAGGCAGAATTTGACAAACTAAATAAAAAAAAGATTTATAAAAAAAATATTTCGGAGAGAGAGAGAGATTTAAAAAATCCAAAACTGAAAGGGGTATACTAAACCCTCATCCCTATTCCGATGCCTAAGCTTCAAAGAATATTTATTTACGTTTAATCAAAGGGAATGAAAATGAGAATCAATATAGATCTATAATAATATTAGAAATAGGAAGACACTATAGACACCTGTATCGTAACGTCACGAGTCACGACTGACAGATACCGTGTCTGAATGGCTTACATAAACTTGCTTTTTATCGTTCATGTAAAAGTAAAATGTTAAATTTACTGGAATATAATTAAATAGAGGGAGAGGGGTTAAAATCAATTGTATGGAAGGTGTGAAAATCTGACTTTTTAAAATTTTATTGCTATATGTGTACCACTTTGTTTCAGCACTTTTATAATAATAGATCTTTACTGACTTCCAGAGGGAGCCTATTACAGGTAAAGTTCGGTATTTCGACATCGGATATGTCGACAAACCAGGATATGTCGATATACAATCGCGGTCCTAACGGTAAATTATGTACTGTTTTAAAACCCTGACATTGAGATTAAAGAAAATTAATCTGTAATTAATCATATGATTTTTTCATAAAAATGAGACTAATAGTAAACAGACCCTGTATAGGTGATGGAATTATGTGACAAAGCGTATACGTTACCTTGAGTATAGCTGTTACAACAATATCGTGTTCATGTAGATTTTACTTGCTTTCAGTATCGGATTTCGCCCGCCAGATGGCAGCAGTCTACGAACAATTTGCCAAAGACATTCAAACTATTATAGCAGCATTCAAAACCAAATACGAGGACCTCAAACGAGATAGGTATTGTCACTGTAATAGGTACTGTCCCTGTAATAGGTACAAATGTACTGTCACTGTAATAGATATTGTCATTGTAATTGGTTCTGTGTCTGTAATAGGTACTTTCACTGTAGTAGGTACTGTCCCTGTAATAGGTACTCTCACTGTAATAGGTACTGTCACTGTAATAGATTCTGTCACTGTAATAGGTTTTGTCCCTGTTATAGGTTCTGTCACTGTAATAGGTACTGTCACTGTAATAGGTTCACTGTAATAGGTACTGTCACTGTAAGATGTACTGTCACTGTAATAGATACTGTCATTGTAATGTGTTCTGTCACTGTTATAGGTTCTGTCACTATAATAGGTACTGTCACTGTAATAGGTACTGTATCTGTAAACAGATTCTGTCACTGTAATAGGTACTGTCACTGTAAGATGTACTGTCACTGTAATAGGTTCTGTCACCATAAGATTTACTGTCACTGTAATAGATTCTGTCACTGTAATAGGTTTTGTCCCTGTTATAGGTACTGTCACTGTAATAGGTTCTGTCACTGTAATAGGTTATGTCACTGTAATAGGTTATGTCACTGTAATAGATTCTGTCACTGTAATAAGTTCTGTCACTTTAATAAGTTCTGTCACCGTAAGATGTGCTGTCACTGTAATAGGTTCTGTCACTGTACTAGATAATGTCACTGTAATAGGTACTGTCACTGTCATAGGTACTGTCACTGTAATAGGTAATGTCAATGTAATAGGTACTGTCACTGTAATAGGTACTGTCACTGTAATAAATAATGTCACTGTAATAGGTATTGTCACTGTAATAGGTACTGTCCCTGTGACAGGTAATGTCACTGTAATAGGTACTGTCAATGTAATAGGTACTGGCACAGTAATAGGTACTGTCCCTGTAATAGATAAAGTCACTGTAATAGGTATTGTCACTGTAATAGGTACTTTCAATGTAATAGGTACTGTCCCTGTAATAGGTACTGTCACTGTAATAGGTTCTGTCACTGTAATAGGTTCTGTCGCTATAATGTCACTGTAATAGGTACTGTCACTGTAATAGGTACTGTCACTGTAATACGCTCTGTCACTGTAAATAGGTACTGTCACTGTAATAGGTAAGGTCACTGTAATTGGTATTGACGCTGTAATAGGTCCTGTCACTGTAATAGGTACTAACACTATAATGGGTTCTTTCACTGTAATAGGTATGTCAATGTAATAGAAACAGGGAGGACCATTTATTGAAGCCTGACAGTTATATTTATCAATACAAGTCTGCTAAATATCAATTTGTGCTGAGGAAGGGAAAAAATGTCAATGTATATTTGTGTACATATGTATACATATATAAATAAAAAAATATTCTGTTTTCACAAGTCGCATTAATCACATTTATTATTCAGCTATATTATTCTGTTTTGTTTACATAACTGTAAAGTTCCAAGCATATAAGATTATTTAAAAACCAAGGATAAAATGGTTACAGTCTATAGATTTGTTTTTTACAAACAGACCAAAAGACACACCTTCCACAATCCTGTCTGCCTGGGAATGTTTGCTACATGGGACAGAGAACGACGCACAGGTAAAAGATATACGTTAAAATTAAAGATGAACAGAAAAATACATACAAAGGTACAGATATTTATAGGCGTGCACTGATAAATTTTAGATGTACAGGTACAAGTAAATTGTAAGTGCACAGGTAAAGATCACACACGTTCAGGTAAATGATGAGTAGTTAGTGTACAAGACAATGAACATGTAACTGTAGTATATGTAATATGGTCTGTAACCTATAGTATAAAATCGTCGATGGCATTTTTTTTTTTTTTTTTTTTTTTTTTTTTTTTTTTTTTTTTACATTTTTTACATTTACATTTTTAACCAGGTATGATGATTCTGAAAATTTAAAATCGTAAAACATGCAAAATAAGAGACCATATCACTTATAATGTAAAGGTAAAGGTTAAAGATATACCACAGAAAATGGTGTTAGAATTAGAGGTAATAAAAAACATAATGATGAAAAAATACTTTTTATTTATCAACAACTGAGCAGTCCTAATATTTCGAAATAAACACATTTTACATAAACTATTGTTAAAGTTGTTATTTATTATCACGGTATCGTTCTGATTACGAATGCTGAATCAAACTTTGAATGCTTCATATTACGGAAAACAAAAGTATCACTTTAACAGACATAGATGCTTTATATATTAATTAAATTAATTAATTGAACATGAATTTGATGCTTCTTGCAACCTCCGTGTTTCTTAAAGTGTTGCTGTTAATCTATCTGTGTGTATATCCTACATTTTCAGGCTCATATGGATGTGGCTGTCTTGCTAATAAAAAATGTCTACAAACCCTTAGAAGAAGTAGCAATTAATAAAAAGAATCAAACCCAAAAACTCAACTCTTACCGAGATCAGTTCGAGGAGACTATGGACAAAGTGGAACACGATCTGCAAGTT